ATGTATCTAGACACCAGATCGACATAGCATCAAATGCTAACTTTAAAATGAGACAGGTGATCCTATGCAACAGACAACAGAAGAAGTTCACTTTTGGAAACTAGCAGTAATTTTAGCTCGTGCAACCAAAATAAAGCAGTCAGTACTTTATTTGCAAAGACATGTTGTGCTGTGGAGAATAAAGGATCTTGTAATATGATTTGTTATGAAGTAACAGTAGGTTAGCAGCGTTTTGACCACCAGGGGGCAACAGTGTTTTTCTTTATGACCCAGTTCCGGTAATAAAAAGATGACTGCGAGGTCAAAATAGTCTCCGTGGGTCCTTACCGCTTGGAACATCACACGATTAAAACGCCCCGTTACACCATTCCTTCCCAACTGTCACGGTTTGGCAGGGCAGACCGTGGGGATGTGGGGAAAGAGGATTTTTACTTGGATGAATCCTTTAAGCTGTTTCATTTGGATTTATTTCTGTGTGAAAGTTGCAGAGAGCATTTTTTAAATATTATTTTAAAATCAAAGTACTCAATAAGTAAGAGCTCAATGTTACATTGTTTACATATTTTTCATGTTAAACAGAAGAGTTGATTTTTCATGAACGTAGTTTTTGATTGACTTCTGATACGGCAGATGTGAACTTGTCCACGTACCCCTCAGTTTCATTTTAAGCACTTCACAGTTTCGACTGTTTACTGTGAGTTTTCCTACAATTAAATTCAGTCTTAACGTAATATCGTCTGGCTTTTAGTATTGCCTCCCCTGTACTGTCATACATGCTGCATATTCTTGCCACTACACACCCAGTGTTGCTGCTGTCGCTATCGTGTGTGCTCATTGTTCTTTAAATAACCCGAGCCCAGTTCCTTGTATGTGCAAACATACTTTTGTCATTTTAAATTATGCAGAGCAGAGTCGATGCGGATCACCTTTTCCTTTTCTTTTCAGAGCTTAAAGAACAAATGACGATTTGAAGCAAAATGTAAACTTTTTATATTTTAAAAACTTAAAACTTCTTTTCACAAACAGTTTAAAAACAGTTTTTAAAAAGGTTAAAACATCTGACTAAAAACTTCAGTTCCATCAGTTATTGATCCTTGCTGGTGATGTCATGTGGTCACCACTTGTAGTATTTGCAGTCATGTGATCTGCCTGGCAGCAGCAGCATCCACGGTGGTTACGGGCTGCAGATCTTTCCACGGATCCTGCATCATAGACGGGCTGAAGTATTTCTGCACGGGCGCGTCTGAAGACTGAAAACAGACAGCAGTTATGACACGTTTAAAACACGTCACACACGTCTCTCACATGTCCCAGTTTGATTGAAGAACTTCGGTCACAAATCTCTCTAA